AGTAAAGCTGAGTGGAGAAGAGGAATGTTCATTCATGAGATGATTTCAAGCATCATGGCACCCAGTAAGACACGGGATTACTGACTTTTGATAGCCCTGGGTAACCTGCCATCATTGCAAACTTGCAGGTTACAAGCTAAGGATATTCTGTCTGATTCAAGTCCATGCAGCCCTGGCAGAGCTTGGCCAAACGTGCCCCATCATTTGGGGAATCCTAGTCACATCTGGGGACTGGCATTAACTAGGCTTGAAGCTGATGGAGTCCAGAATATGAGGTTTAACTTTGCTCCATTTCAGCTTGTTGGTTTATTGTCTTAGCAGCTGCAAAATCTGCATTGTTCGTATTGGCTTGAGATATTTCCTTCTTTATTAAAGATAAACACCTCAGTTTATCTCTTAGAGTCATCTATTTATTTCTGCAGTATTTATCCCAGTAGCCAGTAGGACAGAGGATTGTGATTGTTCCTTTTTTCTTTGGTCTTCCCCCTTGCTTTCATTCCAACTACAAAGAATGTGGTCCGACACAGAGAAGAGACGCGTGTTTGCCTCTCATCTCCCCTTGTCCCAGTATGAGCCTGCTCACTTGACATCATTTGTGCCACACAGAGAGGAAAAAAAGGCAGAAATAACAATGCTTCATTTTTCCCTCTTTGAAATAAAGTCTGGCGACTCATAGGGAGTGCTATATTGGTCATTGCACTCACGGTGGGGTATCCCAGCCATGAAAGACAACTTGGATATGAACAAGTCACCTCCGGATCACTTGACTCATCCTACACACCAGGCAGTGTGCTCCCATAATGACTTCGCCTACTGAATTGTTATCATCCAATATATCACCACTGAGGGGCCATCAGTGATAAGATCTTTTCAAATTGCTTTGATAATAGAAGCTGAGGCTTTCAAATTAAATATGAAGTATAAGACAGTGCCATAATCTGCAGAAGCAGAAACATGTTTTTCTGACATATAATTGTTCTAGAACAGTTTACATTTTATTTATCATGTTCTATAATATGAATCTAAAGTTATTTGCTAAATCAGTGGCTTATTTTTTCTCTCCAAATATAGTTGTAAAAAGGTTAAGACATTTCTCCACATTTTTCTTGCATGTTTTTGTATCTTTAATCTTTAGATAACATTGGAATGTGACTGTTTGCCAAAATATTACATTTAGGAATCAGTTTTGTCCATGACAGTGCCAAAGAATTGTCCTGGAAAATGGCATTGAAGAATTAAAGTAAATGGCTTTTTAAAGTGCTTATAGATTTAGATTAAGTCCATCTCATATTAGTAAGGATTGTAGGAAAAGATCTTTAGGTAATGTGAATGTTGTGATTATGAGTCATCTTCTGTTTCGATTGTCTTGTGGGTTTAGGCACAGTGTCAAAATCTGATTCAGGCAATTAAAGGAGCATTGTTGTGGAATACCATACCTGATCATTGCATCAAGTAATCCACAGTGTTCTGGCTTTCTCATATAAGTATAAATAGCACATTTACTTTAGCTTATAATTACTCTTATTGCTTGGTAGCTTTTTATAGAGTGAAGCATTTTGTATCTTCAGAGTAAAAGCTAAACTAATGAACATATGCTCATGCTCATTTAAAAAATGTGAGAGATTTGTGGTACTTTCTAATTCCTCAATGAACGTGACATATACTATAAATTTCTCATGTTTTGATCAAATTATTCCCAGGTTCCTAATGTCAAAGTGGTAATTCTAAGTGAGCTATTGCAAATCCAGAACATTTTTTCTGGTTTCCGGAATATTTTCCCAAAACATTGTCAAAATGATAAAATCTGAAACTGTATTGTTCCCTAAAATTAAAGGGAAATCACCGGCCTCTTGATCTTTAGATTTTAAATGCCCATGTTTTAAAACTTCCAGTAATTTGCAACAACATTTATACTAATGTCAGTATTACTGACAGTAGTTACTCCCACAATGAATTTGTTAAGTTATAAGCTCTTAACCACGAGGAATTTGCAGTCTTTTGTTTCCTGTCTGTGCTGAAATACATTTTCAATTTTTAGACCCAAGGAAGAGTCACTTATCTGGTTCTTATTCTGAGTTCTCAGGTCTTATTTATAGCCTCTCATTTTGTTCCTTTTAGTAGTCAGCCCAAACCCTAATTAATGTGAAATAGAGGTGTGATTAGTATTTGTTGTTTTATTCGCTTAAGTTGCCTGCCTAAGATAACACCACCCATGCTGTAAGAGCGAGTGTGTCGGAACTCCCTCTTGTTCCAGGAGGAATGAGCTGGGGAGATGCTACAAAGGTGATAATGGGGCACAGGGACAGTGTGAGTCAGGGTGTGCAAGTAAGTGCCCTGGAGCTGGGATATTTATGCCCAGGAGAGTGGAAGTGGGTGGTCTTCCTGACCTTTCATTTAAGTCATTTAAGTCTTAATTTACTGTTAAAACCAGGGCCAAATCCACATCTTCTGATGTTCTCATGTTCGATTTTTACCTAGGCTTCAAGCAGCACAAGTACTTGTACTTGTACTTGAACAACTACTTAGATTCAGAGCAGCATGGGAGATATACCTAGTGAGTGTCTTCTTGGGTATTATCTGGAAAATTGCCTTTTTTGTAACAAATTAAAACTCATTTCGAGCTCATTTCATTTCAAACATTTAATGAACTGCACTTTGACTTCTTGCATCTACTACATACTGTACTTGAATGTGTAAAGCTTTAATGTTTGAAGCCATAGAAAGCTTTTCTCTTCATTGTCTTAGAAAAGTTTGTTTGAGGTACATAACAAGTGATAACTAATAAGTGTTAAAACCTTTATTACCACTTTGATAAAGGTGCTTTTCATATTTTAACAGATGCTATTACAATTTAAAGTCATATTGCACTTACAATACTGTTGTGTGCATTGGGCTTTTGCCATCTTTGAAATAAAATAATTTGCTGTTTTTTTATTTTATTATGTTTTTGTTTATGTTGCCTCATTGTTATTCTCTTATTCCATCCACCTAGGATTGTAGAAGGATGGAATAACCTATCTCGCCATGTTGTTGAATCTGATACCCTGGCTTCATACAAAAAATGACTGGATAAGATCCTTCCATCATTTCACTATTAATAACCAAATGGGCTAGAGAGGCCTATATCCTAGACTCATTTGTAACTTTTGCTATGTTCTTATGTTCCAGTAATTTACCTTCTTCTCCCTGCTTGGAATATATTATTGGTTATTGTTATTTCTTTAAAAACAGCCTGTTATTTTACTGATTATTTCAGAGACGACAGAAAAAAAACTGTTACTTAGAAGTAGTCTAAATAAAGAGTTTGTATGTAGCTATTTCTATACACTTCTTCTACAGAGGAACTGGGTATAGATCTGACGTGACAGTTTGAAAATGTGAAATCTACCAATGTGTATTCATGATACATTTAGCTTCAAATCATATAATGTCAAGGTTTTGAATACACCAGGTTTTCACTGCAGATTTAGGTCAAAAATGTGGGTCAGCTTCCTTGATTAGTGTGCCCTTTTGTCCCTACTTTCAATCTGATCCTTCATTTAAGCAAAAAAAAATGTCTAACAAACACCATGTTTGATCAATAGAGCTGGGATATTGCCTGCACATCAGCAGAGCTCCTCTGGTACTGTGAACAGTGAAATGGGCAGAATCAGAGCCTCATGTTGTCAGGCAGTTGTCTGCATCCCCTGATCAATAACGCTGATTGAAAGACATTAACGATAGAATGACAGACAGGCTCTTCTCAGAAAGCCCATACCTTGTCTGCCCGCCACTGCCAATCGCTGAGGCGACAAGGCTGGGGATAAAGAGCAGGAGTCTGAAATCCTTTCACTACCGACTCAGAAGAAGAATCTCTCACAGTGGTATTAATGAATGACCTATTATTAGTACCTCCTCATTTGGCACAGATGTGGAGACCTGATACAAGCACTTGCATTGCTACACTCGGCAAGCTTTCTTCTTCTCTTTTTTACTAAGTATGTCTGACCCGAGTGTTGACATATTTTCTGTTTTCCCGTATGAATTTTCTTTGGACCCTTTTAGTTGGACAGTTTATTGAAGTTGTGTGACCTTTGTGTTATAAATTTTGTTTTTAATCAGTAGTTTGCCAGTTGCAGTTTTTGAATGGTTGAATAATACGCTTCTGCGAATGTGGATAACCCAAGCCAGTGGAGTATGAACCAGCCCAGTCACCACCTTCTGTGATGTCAGTTCCACATTTTCTCATTTGCAGCTTAGAGTTGGATGACATTTTAATTACTAGCAGGGAGGTTATTGAGATGATGGATGTGCCTGATAGAGTAGGCGACTAGTGTTTTTATATTAGGGTGCTGACAAAGCTAATCCAGTGCAATGCAATGAAAGACAGAACACAACTGGAAATATGTAATGTGTCGTAATGTGTTTAGGATGGAAATAAGTATTTTTGTTCAAAGGGTGGTGGAACAGGGTGCTTAGCCATTTGGTAGTTACGGTGATATAATGCATTGATTACACTGTGTTGTAACTGTTTCCATTATATCAGTGGTTCTCACTTGTGCCAGCTTATTTCCAGTGCTTATGACGCTTATAACTGACCTGCTTGCTTGTTTTGACTTTTTTCTGCACTCAAGCCTCGGTTTGAAAAACGCCTTACTTAAAATACTTTAGCGTACAGAACTTTACAAAGTATATTGCTAATTTGTTCCATTAATTCTGGCTAAAAATCCTTTAATATGCAATTACTTTATGACGAACAGACATACACTAACTCTAACAGAAAGATGGGCTGAATGACCCGCTGTCATTTGCAGCACTTTTTATGTTGTTTTGCCTGCTGTACTGGCCAGTTTTCTTGTTCTTTACAGTTTTTAAATGTCTTTTAGGTAATGTCCTATAAAAGCATAGAGGTATCTGTTAGAAGTCCTTGGCTCCTTTAGAATTTTATGCAGCCTTGAGGGTTGAATGATTGCAGTCATGCAAGATAGTAAATTCCATTTTATGTCCTGTGTGTTCTCCAGAAAACAGTTATGTGAAAGTAATCCAGGGGGCTCATGTTCGGTACTCCCTGCAGTCCCACCCAGCGATGGAGACCATAATGCACCTTCTACCCCAGAACATACTGGTGTCCAGGACAGAGGACATTCCAGGAGTGGCACCAGCTTCTGACAACTCAGGTAAGTGTAACCAACATGGAAAGAACACAGCTGAAGAGTGACTTTGACTCTTTGTAAAGCTAGGTGGTCTGTGATGAGGCAGTACATCTACAGCATTTGGAGTGGTTAGCATCATACTCAGGGGAGTGACAGGACTACTGCTAACTGAGTGTATAGTTCAAGACCTGGCTGTTCTGGGTCTCCTGATTTTTGCTGGCATTGCAGTGAGTGATGCCAGTTACAGTGTTACTAAAACCTAACAAGCTTGTGATGAATACAATTCGAAGGACATGCTTCTTCTGCCGTTAGCAGAAGGTGTGTCATTTCTCATTATTAAGCTACAGCTTAAAGTGACATCAGAATAAAGAATCCTATCCTACTACTTAAAGCTTTATTTCTTTAGACACTGAATTTTTAAAGTGTAGTTTAGACTGAAATTCAAGTTAGGTTAGAAATGTGAAATTGATTGATTGATTCTGTGAATGCAATGCCAGAGAAACCATAGAATAGCAGTATCTCGGTTTCCAGTCCAGTACCACTTGGATGTGGAAGGAAAAAGCCACCCATGTTTATTTTCATCCCTAGTGTGTTCTTGTACCATTTCAAATTGTTGCTGTTAATTGATGTCTTAATTTAATAGAGATGATGCAGTCGACATACTTATTATAACTGTCCCAGCACCTCCTTACGGAAATGTGTCAAGACCATTAAAATCTTGGCAAGATGTCAATGTGTGTTTGTCTCAAAGAACTGCGTGATATTTTTTAATCACCCCGTGCTTAAATTTGGCTTTCTTTGTGCAGTCAAAAGACCTGTTACATTCGGGAAGGATTTTGTGTACCTAGACAATGACTTTATTTTTATCAGAAATTAGTATTTACAGATGAATGTATCTTTAAATCACAGTCACTGCAGATTGTGAAAGAAAATGCTTATATTAATTCCATTGATATTTGTATATCAATAATATCAATAGGTAAACCTTAAAACAATAATACATTGATTTAAATTCCTTCCTCTCTTTCTGGATTACTGTGATAATAATAAACTTTATTTTATATAGAACTGTTAAAATCAGCATCTCAAAGCACTTTACAGTAGATGTAAAGTAGAAAAAACAGTTATAAGAATAACAATACATAAGAAACATAAGTGGAATGAAGAACTCAGTTTCAAGATGGGAGAGTAAAATGTCATGATTCACAGTGTAAAAAGCAACCCTTAGGTCTAGGAGAATTAGAATAGATAGAGAACTGGAATCAGCTTCCATAAGAAGATGGTTAGTAACTTTAACAAATGCAGTTTCTCTGCTGTGTATTTGTCTGAAACCAGGTTGGAAGGGTTCAAAAACGTTATTTGTAATTAGGTGATTGTTAAATTGTATTGCAACAGCACATTGTAATATCTTTGCAAAAAAGGAAAGTTAAATATAAGATGTAAATTGTCAAGGCACAGGGGTAACTGAAGCCTTTTCAAAAGCTGTTGGTATGACTCCAGTGCTCAAGGACTCATTTCCTATGTCGAGAACAGTAGGGCTGGATAACAGGATTGAAACAAAACAATAGGAATTGGATCAAGCAGAAAGGTGGTGGGTTTCATTCACAATCCTAATGCATGCAGTGTCGATTTGAGAGAAACAGGAAAGAGGAGGACCAGCAAAAACAAACAGACAGGGGGAAAATGTAGTAGTGTCAAGCATGGTGAGAGAATGTGATGCCTGTCAAATCTTGGTGGTAAAAAAAAGCATTGCAATATTAGGATGAGGCAGGTAATGTAGTGGGAAAGTTTGGCTCTAACAGTCTTTGATGGTAAAGCATGGGTATCTGGGATTGTTTTAGTTATTTCCAATGATATGGGAGAAGTAACTGAGTCAAGCAGTCTTCATTGTATCTTTGTATTCAATCAAATGGTCTACTAGGATGGTAGATGTACATTCATGCCAGAAAACCACATTCTAGTTTGTGGCAGAGTGCCTTTATTGGTCATGAGGCATCGTTGAGTTTGAGTTGGATGAAGTTTTTGAGAGGAGCTTAGGTAACAAGAGAAGTTAAAAGCTATCAAACATTTGCAACTTGTCATCCAGAGTATCATAGATAGGAAAGCAAAACAATGAAGAGATAGCAGAATCAGCAAATCTATTCTGGCCACCTGATTGGCAGTTGCGAAAACTTACAGAATGTGAAGTTGGAGAGTGGGAGACAGAGAATTATAGATCAAAGAGAACAGCCAAGTGATCAGAAAGACCTAGTTCAAACTACTGTAAGTGTGAAACCAAAGAATCATTTACAGTGACTATGTCCAAGACTTCACCCTTTTTGAGAGCAAGCTGTGTTGGACTAACGCGTTCCAACAAAGCTAGCAAATCAGTAGCTAAATTGGAAAAGCTGTTAATCAGTGTGGTTATTAAAGTCACCCAGAAAAAGGATCTTATTAAATCTGAAACATAGTGGAGACAGTAAATCAGCAAACTCACTTAAAAAACATTATTATGCTTCAGGGGTCTGTAAATTATAACATTGATTGTAGACTGGGGAACAGAGACATTTAAAACAAGATGCTCAAAATAATGTAGAGGTACAGAAACTGGATTTACACAGAAGAGTAAATCATAAATAACAATTTGGCCCACACCATGGCCATAGGGGAAAGATTGTTCAAAGAAGTCATGTCCTGGAGGTATAATCTCGTCAAACAAGAGGCCGTCATTTTGTCTGCTCCTGGTTTCTGGTCAAGGACACAAAGTGGAGAAAATATTTAGAAAGTCTGCTGTGTTGTTTACAGAACGGGTATTGAATAAAGGCTGATTTGGTCGGTCTCGGAGAGCCATTAGCAGAGTGGGACAATTTAGGGGATGTATCTCATTGCTTGCACAATCCCAATATCACGTCAGTACCCGAAGGCAGATGTTTTAGGGAAATAATTCAGATGAAGTTGCAGTAATTGTGACGAGGTGAAATCTGGGAGGACTGAAACCGGGTAAGATCAGGGGCTGTTTGAAGAACACCTTGAGCCATGCAGCAGGTAGACAGACAGAAGTACTGTAGTACTCAGGAAAGTGGGGATTACAGAGAATGAGCAATAAATTAATTTAAAAAAATGTAGTGAAAATAGATATCAAAATCCACTACAAAAAACTAAACTACACCATTAAGAGGAGTGGCAATTAGACGTGTCCCTGTGACCAGAAGCTGCATGTAAAGTGCTGGTAGGTAATGGTGTTGAATACTACTATGATATTTTTGACTCTCTGAATGTTTACCTAAAAGAAACCATTTAATACTTGCTAAGGCTTTTATTTGTTCAATTCTGTGAATAACAACTGTGTCAACCACCAAAATGGTTTGGTTTGATATTCTTCTGCGTGCTGTCTCCTGGGTAAAATATATGTGGCAGTGTCCTGTTCTCCTACTCCGGCCTTTAAAAGGGTCAGGAGTTATTTATTGCAGTGGGAAGTCTGTTCTGAGTACAGGAAACCTGCATCTCTTAGCTCTCATTGCACAGCCACATCATAGACGTCTCTGGCTGTGATTTCTCATCAGCCCCCTCAGGTTCTCCATGCCCCTGATAACAGCCCTGTCTCTGATGATTTCAATCATTGTGGTCATCCAGATGATACACTGTTTTTCACACAAGGGTGGGGAAGGTCGCCTCCCCAGATAGTGGCAGAGAAAACATAACAATGATTTTAAATCGGAGCTGTCCCACGTGTCATGACCACAGTCACAGATGTAAGGTTACAAAGGTGGGCATGCAGGCGGGCATCCAAGACAGCATCTTGCTTAAGATAGATCTGTTGTTAAAAAATGTTCAAGCACACAGAACATTGCTTTGTTTTAGTTTTCAGCTCAAAGTGTTTTTCGTAGCTTTGTTTCATTGCATTAGGCATTTGCTTGAAGAGTATGTCAATCAAGATTAGTACTATCAGCAAGACAAACTGTCCAAAGCATTCACACAAAAGCACATGTAACAGATTTAATAACTCTCCTTTGTCATGTTCTTAACAGAACACAGATGTCTTGAAGGAAACATTCTCTTGGCACTAGAGACAAGCAGCCAGAGTAATGCATAAATGCTATGTGTGGGGATTAGGAACAGCATGTTAAAGAAATATTGGATTCATTTAAATTCTGTCCCTATTTGGGCTGCTTATCAGAATTCCCATTAGAGTAATGCAGGGCCTTCTGAAATAATATTCATGGAATACACTAGCAGAGCAAAATTAATTCTGCAGTATCGATCAACCCAAGCAATAGTCCAGTTAATTAATGAAATTTTCACTTGCAAATCCATCAGACACAAACACCATTAATATCTACATCCCATGAATTTATTCATGTTGAATTTATGAATGTACTTTAATTATAAGCAGTTTTTCTCTTTTTGCTCTTAAATGTATACAGCAGATGTTAAAATATTAAAGATAATTTTAAATGAGTGTTGTTTCACAATATCATGTTTTTAGGACAGAAATATATGATATTAAACTACTTAAAACTAAATATTCTAGATGCACAGTCGCTATAGGCTGATGCCTTTTCTAATTGTGTGAAATATATTCAAGTTCAAGCCATCGGCAGAAAGGATTTTGAGTTGCACATCATTAACCCTCTGTTATTGTAGAGTCAGACTTTTATACATCTTCCTTTCCTCTCTTTGTTCTGAAAGTCAAACTCTGCTTTGGAAAAAAAAGTTTATTAGGAAAGCTAATGACATGGATAGAGTTTGACAGAGTGGGTTTATTACACACCAAGAACAGGCTTTCAGTAATCCATTGGCGCTATGGGTTTCTGAGCAGCTTGCCCTTGGTTGTTAGGAAGTGTAAGTTTGATCCAGGTTTAAGTCTATGCATAAAACCTTAAGTGCTTTGTTTGTCTTGCTGATTATAAGCCAGGCTGCTTTGGCCCTGGGAGTCAACATGATCATATTCTGGCTGGTCCTGGTGGTTGAAATAAACACCAGTTTCTGCGTGGGAAGAATAATTGGTTACCTATGAATTTATACCGTGGAGCAATACTGATAATAACATTAATCAGACAACAAACAAAGAACCAGACTTTCACGTAGACATCAGATTTAGAGTTGTAAAGACACTTCTAGAGTTATTTATCATCCCCTTATTTATCGTTCTGGATCTTGGCGGCACTGTTAAGCTGAGACCATCATCTGAGTCCTCAACTGAAATTAGATTCCCATTTATTAGAGGAGGAACAATGGAAAATCAAGTCTGTTTAGATTGGAATGAGTTAAAATTGATTCCATTAGTTTTTTTTAATTGTTCCAATTTGCAGCGACACATTTTTAGAATATTAATTGAACCCAATCAATTCCTTGTCTCATTTTCCCTTGTAAAAGCGGCAGTGCTCATAAAACATCTCGTAAGACGTTCGGAAACGGTCCCAAATGTCATGGTCTATTGATTCTACAGCAATGCAACTATAACTTTAGAACTAACATCCCTTTGAGCCTTGCAGCCCCTTTTAGAAAAATGCAGTGCTTGTGGAGCTTTCAGGGCGATCAAAGTGTTATGCCCACACAGGAATTTAGAAGTAGGAATCAAATAATATTGCATAAATAACACAAACCCAAAAAGAGGCAGGCATTTTAAGTTTTAAGAGCTCCGTCTTTTGACACAGTAAAGGATGCTAACTAGCTGCTTTGCCTCGTTAAGTATTTCCTTACCATTTTTTGATACTACCTGCAATAACACTGAAGCATGTGTGCCATTAAGGCTGAATAATATGCAGGTACACACAAAAAATCAATACGTTTCTTCAGTTTGGATTTATAAATATAAGAAGCAGCTTGCAGTCATTTAATTTAATTGTCCATTAGGGTGAAGTGATGCTTAAAGATCATTAAAACAACCCGTTAGTCATTGAATGGGTTCCATTAAAGCTTAGCATGCTTAAGGTTAAAATATAGGTGTGAATTAAAAATTATTTACTGTGTTACACCTTGTTAAAAGCAAAGTATCGTAAATAACATTGGTGAAAACTATGTAAAGCATTGGTAGGTATTGTGAAGTACGATACCTGTTAAATGGCCTCTTAATGACCACAAACATTCCAGACTGCGTGCATAATAGGGCAGATTGAACATAGACTTAGCAATTAACAATATTACCCAAGAAATGTTAGCTCTTGAACAGAGACACTGGAAGTCGTCTTGACGTGAGCTGTTGTCATTGAATGTTGTTTAGCTGAATACAGTCAATGGCTGAATCAATGCCGTTCAGTAAAGCTATATGACCTGTGTAATGGAAGTTTCCTCGGGCAAATTGAATTAATGACAACCCAGTCATGAGTGGCCATGTAAGAATAGCCAAACAGGGCGCCATTAAAGATTACTTTTAGGGAAATATATCCAAAACAAAAAATGTACAGACATAACTTTAAATGCCATTGATCTTAGTCACTCCAGATCTTAGTCACTCCAGTGTCAGTGACTTTACATTTAGGAGACTATGCAACATTGGTGGATACTTCCTAGAGCACTTTGTTGGATTTCTTAAAGTTGATGACACCATAGGAAAGGCATAGCGTCCTTGGACAATTGTCCTATATTTGGACATTCTGGACTGCAGAGTAGAGTCATATAACAAGAGGTGCAACAAGCAGCAGGATGAACAAAGGGTGAAGAAAAAAATGCTGGAGCTCAACAAGAAAGGTTTGGATGTCCCTGATGGGAGGCACTCTCTCAACCTGACCTGTTGATGCTGTGAAATCATCTGTCGGTTTAGTCAGCTTTTTTGTGTTCTTCAGCAGCTGTACAATCTCTTCTGCTCTGTGAAACACTGGTCAGTTTTTACAGAACATGTCAAGCAGTCAATTGTTAAATGCTCCTCGACTCAATCATTGGAATTGTTGCATAGCCAATGTATAGACACATCACTATCATACATCTGGATGGTGGATATATTGGAGGCTTTAAATACACTGACAGAGCATGGAATGGAGAAAAATGATGGTGAGACATCACTGAATCTTAGGAAATAATTTTCTGGCATTTCCTCATATCAGTCATTGTTTCCTGCAATTTTTTGTTCCAAGTAGACATGTCAGAAAAATCTTCCAGAGCTCTAATGTTTCTATCACAATTCGGAAAAGTGAGACTGCTGGAGTCTGAACTTTTCTGCCAATCTACAGGAAGACTTTTGTACTGAGAGCTTAGCTTCAGAGACATTTGTTTCCTCCGCTGTGTTTGGGCAAGGAAAGAAGAAGAAGTAACAATCCATTTTATGAACATCTTCGTCACCCTATGTAAAATATAAACTGTGATGTTTTTGATGTGGACCCAGCTGTTTGTTCTTCTTGATGTATACTATATGTGCTTGTTTTGATTGCAATTTAGGTGACTGCTTGCGGAAGCCTCGCTTGTTAAAAAGCTTCACATGCTACCTGGACAAGCTTTCTGTAATTCTCCACCCATCCACAGAGAAGTTTGAGGAGGACCTCCTGCAGCTTCTCAACATAGACCGGCTGAACAGGGTATGCCCGTTTACGTCTCCGTCACAACCGACAATCAGGTTAACATCACTGAGGAAACATCCTACTGAGAATTGGATCACATGAGTTACTGTCAGGATTGATGTAGGTTGAAAGGAGTTAAAATACCGTCTGAGTGTGTGCATCTCTTTTAATGCAAGCTTTTGTAGGGCTTGAATTCATAAGGTGAAGTTAAACCCCCAAAAAGAATTTTCTGATGTTTATTTGTCTATAAAGGCTTTGGCTTCTGCAAAACATCTGCTTTGAGCTAGTGAAAAATATGCTTTCCTCATTACCTATAATGAAGGCCCCCTCTGTATGCATCACACTGCTTCCTTCATACCAGTTATTAATGTAGAAGCAAACATTCCAGTGCAGAAGAGGAAGTGTTTCACCTCACCTTTTGCTGTCAAAACCAGACACTATAGCCAGCTTTTAGCTGTCTGTGTGTGGCTGGGGAAGTGGGTGTATCTGGGAAGGGGCTCACAGGTATTTTAATTAGCTGCTGGACCTTAATATCTTTTTCATTTTGTTTAGCACAAAGTGTGAGATTTTCATGTGCATTCCTTTTTTATGTGTGACAAATTGGTGTGAAAGACATGTTTCTGTTCTTTGTGGTCTCTGTGCCAAAGTTACATTAAAAAAACAGACCTACATTGACTTAAACTAAGATGTGTTTTTCTTTTATCAAAGCATAAATTTCACAGTGTGAATAGGTACTCTGCTATGTAACACTATACTAGAAGTTATTTTAAATTTAACGAAGGACTCAAGGAATCATTGCCATTTTTTACAAAGTTTCTGGAGAGCTTTTATCTTCGGAAAAAATATTCAACAGGACCCGAATTTAACAGATTTTTAAAAGCAATGTTTTTTGCATCCCATTTCATGGCTATCAGTAACATAAAAAGTTAATTTAACAGCCTCTTCAGGAAGTGGAGAAAAAAATAACTAATCTAAATATTCATTCCTGAGTTAATTTAAAATAATATTTTGAATTATTTTGCTCGTGAATCCACTCTTTCATATCTGAATTCTGGATTATATCGTGATATATTTTATTCTTAATTTTTTATCTTGTGGTTATTGTTTCAAATATTAAAATCTGGTTTAGACCTTTCTCTTGAAAATTTAGTTTTTTGGAAATAAAATAGTCTTATGTCAACTTTTTATTTCTTTGTGCAATGTGAAATATGGAGAGACAACAGTTATTAAACATATAAAGTTGTTTAGGATATAGACCTTATATTGTTACTCCTTTGAAGGTTAAAATAAAAATGTAGTGTCCTGATAATGATATTTAATTAATGTAGACTTCTTATTCTAAAGGAGAAAGAGGGGATACATTACAATATCTATGTAAAATGATTAATTCATTTGTGATTTGTAGAGCATTAAAAGTTATGGCTCAGCACCAAATGCTAGCATACAGCCCCTGCAAGCAGTAGTATCAGATGTTCTCATTAATAGATTATCAGTGTATCACATCAACTGCCAGTTCTTTCCACAGTAGCCCTCCGACATTGCACTGAGCATGTGGCTGATAGCTGTAGATCCCTCTTTGCTGTATCCCCAAGAGATGAGAAGAGATGATGTTTTCCCTGCATGTCTTGGAACGCTCTTACTGTATGTACTTGCAGTTATGTATACGGTGCAATTTCTGTTCTTTGTGACTGATGTTTGCTGGTAGAAGGGACAATAATTTATGTAATTCTCCCAAACAGTAAGCGACTTGTGACTTGTTTCAAATACTCTCCTGTCACTTTGCATTGCGAAAGTTTCTGGGGGGCAATCCTGAACATGTGTGAAGAGGTGTAAGTAACGGTCCCATAGCCCCAATTTTTGCCGGGTTTTATTTTTTAGGAAAGGGAGCAAGTGAGGTTTGTTATAGTGTCGCACTGCTACATAAATGCCCATCAGACACATTCACTGATTGGTTTTCAGAAAAAAAATATTTTGTGTTTCCCTTTTTTAACTTTCATTACACTGAGGTGTAATAAAGGTGTCAGTTACAAGCCTTTCTAATACCTTGTGAAGACTTACAGTCTATAAAAGCCTCTTGACATAAAACATTTAATTCTTTTTTTTATTAGACTAATGTTTCAGCCGATACCGTGACCTTTTAAAATGAAATGGAGTGCTAGTCTTCATTGCCTTTGGTATATAGCCATTTTACGAAACAAAACTGAAAAAATTCAGTGTAGTGCTTTTGAGGTTTGACCTATTGGTTTCTTACATTTACATTTTAGAGCCTTTGATTTAATTTGTCAGTGTTTTAAATAGTTATTTTGTGATTCTGTATTATTACTGAAGGAGAACTGAGCTACAGTTATACACAGTTATACACTGATATAGAAAAGAATCTCTGTTGCTTGCCACAGAATTTGTGCTGTGTTTTTTTTCTTTTTAATTTCTTTTAGAAAAGTACAGCATGTGAAAATGGACTCATGAAGAGCACATAGTTTAATACTCACCTATTTCCCACGTTGTTGCATGATAAATGCTGACAGATGATATGTGTGCATGAAGTAGGAAGCCACATGATTAATAACATTTCCAAAAACACTTCACATTCTTACATATCACCAGCCTAGTATTTGCCTAATTTGTTCTGATCAGGAGTCTCCCGTTGTTGATGCAACAGACATGTTTCAGGTTCAGATAGTAACAAGCAAAATCTTTGGTTGGAGCTCAAGTGGGAAGGGAATTGAGATTCAGTGTTTGTCTACACCCTTTGTTAATTTTGGGGTAGTTTAAATGAATGGATAGGGAAGGTAGAGACAGGAGGCAGTGGAAAGGAATTGATATTGTTTAATTTGACTTCATACTCTAGCTTAAACCCGCTTCATTTTCTTATTCACCATGTTTCCCAAATTCACAGCCATGCATTCAAAAAACTCACAATGTTAAAATGTAATATTTATATTTATTAGAAAAAAGATTCTACGAGTTATTGTTTGGGAACAAGAGGGCAGAGTTCAATGCATTTTTACATCATTTTCTTTCCTAACCCTGAAATTCTGGTAGATTGAGAAAAACTATATGATATGAACATTGGTCTCACTGTTGGCAATTTGATGTCCTCTTCTTAAATAGTAAAGGTTTATTATAATTACTACTACTACTACTACTAATATCCAACCATCCATTTTCTAACCACTGTGTCCAGTACAGGATCATCAGCGAGCCTCAGCCTAGCCCAGTGAGCAATATTATCAAGGCGGGATACACACAGGGCACAGACAGACACAGACACACATTCCAAAAAGCAAATTAAACTACTTTCTTGTGTGTCTTTGGACTGTGAGGGGCAAAAAGAGCACCCGATGAAAATTGTAATACTATTATTACTCTTATTCATAGTGGAAGCAGTGCTTTGTTTAGTTATTGTTGTTATTTTGTGCAGTACCTAAAGCTGTTGCAACCACATAAAATAATAAATTACTTGTCCATTGGGTGCCTGACACATTTTTCTGACATGATATTCAACAGTACTGTTTGACTCTCAGTAGAGGCTTTGAGTAGAAACATCATTGATTTTGTCTGGCTAGGCCTCTATCAAGTGTCTGTTTTGCAGATAAGGTCTGAGAGCATGGCAGAGGAGAAAGATCAGTAACAGTCTGATATGACAACAGTGCATGCTTTCTTTTGCCACAGGTGATAATTCATGTGGTATTGTATACGACAGTATATTTTTAATTAGACCCCAAGTGAGCATGTGACCTTTGTAAGTGTGACTCTTCTAGCTCCACAGTAGAGTGATTCTATTGTGATGCCAGTACTAACACCTGGCGTGTCATCATTGCAGCTCAGTTTTCTAACAATAGATTGAAAGAGGAAGAGAGGAAAAGACAACTGTCTGAACATCCACCTCTCATACATCATCTAACAGGTGAATAAGTTGAGAGAAAACTGTCAACCTGCTAGAAAAGTTTTTGCAATTTATTTGATTGACCCTTTTATGAGGCATTCCAGTATTAGCACAATTTTGTGCAACAGAGCAGCATCTGAATAAATTGAATAATTTGAATAAAAGTGTGATCTCAGGATAAAAGGCTTAATTCATAACAAAGTTTATAAACTGTAGGAGACCATTCCTTCCATCTAAAAGGTTTTGTTGCTATCTGCTGTGTGATCAAGAGGATCATATCTAGGTGCTTCTGCATTGAATTCAGGATATTGGCTGTGACAGAATGGCTTGATAGGTGTGTTCCAGACTACAAATGCTTACTGTTCTTGGGTATTAAATACATTTCTCTGTGGTTTTCATTCTGGGCTGGGTTTCACTCTTGATTCTGAAATCCAGTAGGATTTTGAACACTTCTATCACACCCCCTCATACTCTTCTTGGTTCAACATTTGAAATAATGTTTTTTTTTAGCCTGTTGGTGTATGGCATTCCTTTAAGCCTGGCAGTGTCTCAGTTTGCCCTCTACAGCAGCGATATTTTATTTGTACAAAACCATATACAGTACCATATTCTACATGAGGTCTCACTAATGCATTGTATTAATTTGACATTTCTTAATGAAAGTTCTTCTGAAAATCCTGGCATGCCATGTGGAATAGTAGATTCTCTTAGAATGTTGTTGTATAGACTATCCTCCAGTCTAAGTCTAATTGTCATTTCCATATTCTTACATGTACTTGAAGTAACATTTCTTGCCCAACAAAGGCAGCAGTGCGGAGCAGTGGCTGGGGTTCTGGACTTGTAATTGTAATTACAATTGTAATTGAATTGCTCCAGTAAAATACCCTGGTGTATAAATGGGGATAAACATACTGTGTGGTGCTCTGATTTGTAACCTTGCTTGTGTACGTTGTAGGAGTACTTGGTGTGGTTTAACTTTTTTTTGGGGGATTGGTGATACATTAGTAATTGTCCTGTCAGTGGTTAATACCTCTGTCTTGAATGGCCTTCAGGTGCCCAATAAACTGCAACATTACTGTCACACGATAAGATGGGGGAATCACCTTGAGTAATTCCAAATCACTTCAAACTG